ATGTTTTGACTCCTTAACCCCATCATTTATCTTTTGTTTTGTAGAATGCTTCCTTGCATTTTATTGTCATTAAATTTTAAGGAGATGCTATACATTTCCTTCTGTTTCTGATAATATTTTCCCCAAAATATGCTTTTCTTTCATTAATACAGTTTACATTCTTCTTTTAGAGTGAAGAATTATTTTATCAAGTGGGTATTGGTGTTTGTTTATTCATTTTTGAAATAAGAAAAGTAAATGCCCCCAAATAGTATTGTTGAATTTTCCTGGCATCCTTTTATTGTCATCTTGGATGATCTTAAAATGCATCTCTCACCTATGATCTCTCACTGCTGAGGCACGGTAAGATAACGCCAGTAGCTACTTTGTAATCTTTGACAAATTACCCTCAGTTTCCTCATCTGTAAAATGGGAATAATAACAATACTTCCTGATGGGGTTGTTGTTATGAGTAAATGATAAAATATATGTGAAGTACATAGAACAGTATCTCACATGAATAATAATGCAATTAATGTTAGTTGTCATTTTTTATTGTGTTGTAATTATTGAACTTTTCACTCTGACATCTCATTTAATCCTTACCTAACCCCATTAGGTTGGTACCATTACTGTTCCTATTTTACAGAAAATTATGGCCTTTGTATTTGAGTAACAATTTGACTGGACATAATATTCTTGGGACCCAGATTCTCTCTCTTAAAACTTTTGCTCCATCCTTTTCTGGTTTTGAATGTTGTGAGTCTGAAGTCCACCTGACTTTTTATTCTTATAAGGGACTTTTTTTGTAATGCTTATACAATTCTTTCTTCATCCTCAAAGTTTTACTTTTTTTTTTTTTTTTGTGGTATGCGGGCCTCTCACTGCTGTGGCCTCTCCCGTTGCGGAGCACAGGCTCCGGACGCGCAGGCTCAGCGGCCATGGCTCACGGGCCCAGCCGCTCCGCGGCATGTGGGATCTTCCCGGACCGGGGCACGAACCCGTGTCCCCTCCATCGGCAGGCGGACTCTCAACCACTGCGCCACCAGGGAAGCCCCCAAAGTTTTACTTTTTTAAGCCAGGTATATTCATCTACACAAACAGTGCTTTAAGACAACACAAATTTATTATCTCACCGTTCTGTAGGTCAGAAACCCAATAGATTCAACTGGTTTCTCTGGATCCCACTAGGCTAAAATCAAGATGTCTGTCAGCCTGAACGCTTCTCTGAAGGCCCTAGGGTGGCATCCACTCCCAGGCTCCTTCAGGGAGTTGGCAGAATTCGGGCGCATGCAGTTGCGGAGCTGAAATCTCCATTTCCTTGCTGGCTGTTGGCCAGGAGTTGTTCTCAACTTCTGGAGGCCTCCTACATTCCTCAGCTCCTGGCCTCTTCCATCTTGGAACCAGGAACAGCGGGCTGAGTACCTCTCATGCTTTGAATCTCTCTTGCCTCTTGTTCTGCTGCATCTTTCTAACTCCAGCCAGAGAATTTTTTCTGTTTTTAAGGACTCATATGATTAGATTAGGCCCACTAGGATAATCTCCCTATCTTGAGGTCATAACCTTAATCACATCTGCAAAATCCCTTTTGCAATGTAAGGTAACATATTCATAAATTCTAGGAATTAGGGTGTGGACATCTTTGGGGGGGGCATTATTCTGCTGAAAGCTCTAGGTTTTTATGTGAATCATTTTTTCGTCACTTTTTCCTGGAAGACAGCGTACCTTTCCAAGCTGTATTTTAGGCACATTTTTCGCATATTTTATTTGTGAACACTTTTTTTCTGTTTCATGTGTTGAAACCTCTACTTGAAGAATCCAGTTGTCTTCAATATTGGATTATTTAGGTTCTCTCTCATTTTACCTCTAAAAACTGCATTAAAAATCAATTTTAGAGAGGTATAATTTACATACAAAAAATGTCTATTCAAAGTGATGAGTTTTAACAGATGTACGCAACCATAAAACCCCAGCCCCATTCATGATACAAAACATTCCCATCACCCCAAAAGCTTCCTTTGCAGCCCATCCCTCCTTTCACCCCTCTAATTGCTTTAAAAGCTTCTCTTTCTCTCTCTCTCAACACTGCATTCACTTCCAAGTCTTGCTTCTATATCATTAATTTGATTTTCAGCTATATTTCTTCTGTTTTTCTTCTTAGTTCTGAATTATTTGTTAGTTTCTAATAATGTTATGTTTCATAGTTTGTTTCTTCAGCTCTATAGTTTTCCATTTTATTCTGTTGTTTTGTCATCTTGTGTCTAAGCTCTCATGTTAGCGAATTGCTCTTCTTTTAAGTTCTTCTGTTGTGCAAAGACATAGGGAACATGCTCTGTTTCTCTGGTTTTGTTGTGCCCAGACATTGCTCTTCAAATGCTTGTGTGCAACTGCGCTCCATTCTTTTCTTTAAAAAAAATTACTGCGGGAGAGAAACAAAAACAAAACAAGATTCAGAACTGCGTGAACACTATACTATCTTTCCTTTAAATAAAAAATAATACATAGAAGAAGATCATGCTAGAAGATGCATACATTTTGGAGTTGCTGTGGCTCCCCACATCACCTCCCCCAAATCATTCATGGCTAATTTGGACAGCTCTGACATTTGTTTTTTAAGAGGACCCTTAAAAGGATCTTTGAAAACCAACTTGAGGAAATTCCCAGGTGGTACAGTGGTTAGGACTCTGTGCTTTCACTTTTGAGGGCCCGGGTTCTATCCCTGGTCTGGGAACTAAGATCCCACAATCCCCCTCAATTTTTTTTAATTAAAAAATTGAACAGAAAAACAACTTGAAAGATCCAGGACACCTAGAAAAATATCAAGTGTAACCATCATTTGCCCTGTTGGGAATTGAGGTGAGCCTTCCTCTCAGGATTCTGAATCTACAAGACACAGGAGTCCAGTCTGAATGAAAAAAATCTACTTCCCATTACAACATAATCCCAGATTTTAAGTTTTTATTACAAAGGCAAAAAGGGAAAAATATTAATGATCATAGAAGTACCGTATTCATATGGTTAGAAAGTTCAAACATTTTAAAGCTGCAAAACAAAAAATAAAAGCTTCCCTTTACACACTCCAGTTCCCAACTCTTGCAACTGCTTCCTGAAAAGAGAAATTATATGTAAATCAGCATATATAGACATACAGCTATAAATATATACTATATATAGTATATACACTATATGTGTGTATATATATGCCCTTTTGTGTATTTAGACAAAAGATCATAGTATATATATCCCACACTTATTTCATTTAACAGTCTTCAAGAGAAGACTATTCCTTATCAATCATATAGACTCACCTCCTTCTTTTAAATGACCTCATCTTATTACATTCTATGGATGCATCATCTTAAATTTAATCAGTCTCCTCCTTTCCAGTTCTACCGTGGGAGAGCAACAAGCAGAGAGTAAACATGCAAATATTACTCCAATACCTCTCCATCCTGAGAAGTTAAGCAAAACCTTTCATGGAAAATGAGGATTAGAGAATAGAGTTTCCCACTAACAATTTTCAACCCAGGAAACAAAAATGCGGAAAGGGAGGAGTTATTGGTATTTCTTATTGGGCTCATCTAAAGCAATGGTGTTTCAATTCTGCTGATTGGTATGTGCTATTGTGTACAACTGTAATGAAGCCTTATCTAGGGAAAGAAGCTTAAATGACTCTGAGAGACCCTTGTAACCATATCCTTCTGAGATTTTAAACATTAAGCCTTGGAACTGCATTTTAAGCAAACATCTCAGCAGCATTTTCTGAAGTTAGTTAGTACAACATTATCCCATGAATAGAGGCGTATATTCACTTAAGTTTAGGAAATGATGCCCATCATATTCCCCTCTTAAATATGTATGGTATGCATTCATATCATAGTTTTTGGAAAAGTTTTGCAGTAAATAAACCTATTCAACCTTGTTGAAAGCAAAGTTTCCCAGACTTATTCTATTACCGCACTCTTTCCAGCCTATTAACTTGTTAATATCTTATGATGCAAATGTTCCTTCAGAGTATCTTTAAAATATATGTCCCTATTGAATCTATGTTTTAAATTCAGTGCAGGAATCAGTAAACATTTTATGTAAAGAGCCAGATAATAACTCTTTTAGGTTTTGCAGACCAAACAGTCCATATTGCAAATACTCAGCTCTGCCGTGTAACACAAAAGCAGCCGTAAACAATGGGTGAACAAGTGATCGTGGCTGTATTCAGTAAATCTTTAATTATGGACACACATGGAATTTTATGTCATTTTCACATGACACAAAATATTATCCTTCTTTTTCTCCCCCCCAGCCATTGAAAACTATAAAAATCATTCTTAACAGGTAGGCTGGATTTGACCTTTGTAGGCCTTTGGTCTACAGACCAAAGGGTGACACCCTGTGATTTAGTGGATAATGATTCAGGATAAGAAATAAATGCTTTATTCAGTCAGATTGGGCAACACCTGGGATATTTTCAAGAAGATTCAGAAGTTTTGTGTATTTATATATTAAATAGAAAAGAATATTAAAGCTTCATCCACTCTTCAGAAGGCATTTGTTATCCTACAGTTTAGCTCCTAAATATCGAGACATTTTAATAAAACTCTGCCTGTTAAGAAAGGGTAAGCTCAATAAAGATTTCTTGAATAAATACTGGTGAACATCTCCATATTATAAAAGAAATCAGAGTAGAAATGATCTCTACACAATGGTTTATTTATTACCAGATCTTAAAGAAAACCTTTTAGTGATGATCTGCAAAGGTCAGAGCACAGAATTTGAATTATAAAATGGGTACAAAAGTTCAGTGTATCTCTGGTGCAAATTTCTTTCCATGGCTGACGGGGTTGGAACATTTGTCAGCGACACCTTTTTGAGCACCAACAAAAGGACAGCATTCCAAATATATTGAATTCCCTCTGGATGAAGTTACTTTTTTCCTTCATAGAATGCTTGTCGCTCCTTTTGTGGCCTCTCTTGAATGACTGCCTGTGTCCTCCCCCCAACCGGGGCTCCCCCGTTTCACGCAGGTTCATTCCAGAGCCCTGGTCCGCCTGCAGCACCACGTGTGGGCCGGGCGTTCAGGTGCGAGAGGTGAAGTGCCGCGTGCTCCTGACGTTCACGCAGACGGAGACCGAGCTACCCGAGGAAGAGTGTGAAGGCCCCCGGCTGCCCACTGAGCGGCCCTGCCACCTGGAACCCTGTGATGAGAGCCCCACCTCCCGTGAGCTGGCCGCCTCCCAGCAGGAGCAGGACAGTGAGATGACTTACGACTGGGAGTATGCTGGGTTCACCCCTTGCACCGCCACGTGTTTGGGAGGTATGTGATTTTTCTGTTTAAGGGACGGTTAGGTCTTGCATTGCGGATGGTTTGAGAAATCACTAAATCGGTTAAGCCAGATATGCAAATTAGCGGAAGTCAAAAGGAGGTTAAGGTTGAAGAATTGACAACTATGCCTTTTCTTTCTTTCAGTTTTCATCGTGATTATTCTAGAGAGATAAAGGACTAGTGGCACTGTAGCCTGTGCTCCTTGGCCTAAGCATCCGCCTAACTGAGATGGAGCGAGAGGTCACTGATTAATAGAGAATAAATAGGAAAATGCAGAAATGATTAGTTAAGGCAATCTTGTGCATAAAACAGAATTACAGATTGAGGCAGCCTGGGATTGCCCTGTCTGATGCAACTCTTGGTCAGAAGCCATCCTTAGAAAATATTTAGGTCCATACCTGCACATTGGACCAGAAACCAGTGCAGAGCACACTGATCACCATGATTTATGTGTGTACGTGTGGGGTAACATGCGTAGCCAGGGGACCCTGTTAGGATTAGGAAGTGGTAATATAGTCAGGGGACCCCACTGGGGTGGAAGTTGGCCCCAAGGTGCTTTAAGCATTCCAGGATCCAAAAGGAAGTGGATGAGCAGGGCGTGGGAGTCCGGATAGTCATTCTCTCTCTGTTGGAAGGAAAAAGACAGAAATAATCAATGGGAAACCTAGATCCTCTACTAACATGAAAGAGACTCATCTCATCAGGAATCCAGGCCCCTGACATCCTATCACTGACTCTTGACTGTGCCTTCCTGCCAGCTGTCATGGCTAAAGTTGGGGGCTAGAAATGCTCTGACTTCAGTCCCAGCCAACGGTGGAAAAGATAAGGAAGCTATTGCCTTAGGAGGCAGTTGGCTCAAGAGCAGGCTCCACTCCTCCTGGCGGCCCCGCGCCCATTAGGAGCTCCCGATCGGGTCTTAGAGCTCGTGGACCAGTCATTGTGCCCGAGCCTCTCCTCTTTTGCCCCTCAGGCTCTTGAGGACATTCTCAATCCTTGCCATCCAATCACTGTGACTTCATGGTATCTGTCTTTCTCCTTTCTTGTCTAATCAACCTGTAAACCCACCTGTCCTAGACACCAGCCTGTCAATAGACCCAGATGAGGTGGTGTGTGCTTTACTCCCAGGTTTCAGCTAAGCTACTGCCTTTCGCCTGGAGGTACGCATGTGCAAGTTAGAAGAACCCTTATCTGCCTCCAGATTCTCTCTATCTCTTACTTGCTTCTCCCTGGTTCCTAGAAGCCCATCCCAACTAGCCAGGAACTTAGCCTGGTTCACCCTAAATGTCTGCTGTGTCTCTTCCCTTCCGGGCACGTAAGTCTCAGTTACCTGCACACTGCCACATGTCTGCCGTTGCCCCAAAACCTAACTACTGCTCCCTCTGGGTTCAGGGTCCTGGCCACGTCTTTTGTTATATCTTGGAAACCTTAAGACTGATATGCCCTTGGCAATCTGGGAGCTAGTACTTTCTTGATGAATCTGGGGAAACCCTCTAGAGATAGTCACTGGGATGCAAAAATGTTCTCCTATTCAATTGCAATTATAGATGTCTGGAACTTCCTACTACATGACTACAAAATGCAGCTATCTCTACCACTTCTGAGCCACTACATTGCTGTATTTTCACCAGAGACTTGGAGCTTTGCCTTTCATTATGAGAGCAGAAGTAAGCCCTGCTATTGCTTGCATCCCCCAAAACTACTGTGTTAATCTCAGGCTTTTAATACTGCCATTGATAGAATTACTGTTGCATGTAGTACTCTGTCATCCTTGACTTCAGTTCTTTTCCTGACCGGGAAGGCCCTCTCCAGATGGGAAAATATGGCTTGTTGGGTCTTTGGAACTCAACAGGCTACTAGGAGTTGCCCAAGGAAAATTGACCAGGTAAATTCTGATTCAGCTGGGAGAGTCTATTAGACCTCATTTTTGGAGCCTGGTGCCAAAATGTTAGGATCTGCGGTGTTCCCAGTGTCCACTAAGACAGCCCTAGTTTCCACCTCCAGGATGGCTGGATCCCCCTGGAATGATTTTCTGGTTTTTGGGTAACAACTTTATTAAGCTATTAATTCACATACCGTACGATTTATATATTTAAAGTATACAATTTGGTGTCTTTAAGTATATTCACCAACTTGTGCAGCCATCATCACGATCAGGTTTAGAAAGAACACTTTCCCCCCAAAAGAACCCTGTATCCTTAAGAAATCACTCCCCATTTTCCCTCAAGCCCCCGTTTCCCTGCTAGCAGCAGCCTCTGGCAACTACTAATCTACTTTGTATTTATTCTGGACATTTCATATAAATGGAATCACACAATAAGTGATCTTCTGTGACCCCTTTCTTTAACTTAGTGTGTTTTCAGTGTTCATCCATGTTGTCGCATAAGTCAGTACTTCATTGGTTTTTAGGACTGAATACTATTCCATTGTATGGCTGTATCACATGTCGCCATTCACCAGTTAGACTTTGGATTATTCGCATGTCTTTGGTATTATGAAAAATACTGCTCTGCACATTCATGTTCACATTTTTGTATGGACATATGTCTTCATTTCTCTTGAGTATATACTTAGGAGTAATAGCATGACCAGGATCTGTTTCAAACATAAAAGTTTTTGTGAAACTTGACTAATGCAGTTTATCCTTATGGGCACTGTGGACCTTTTGGCCTATTGTGAGGAGAACAATGCCTTGCTCATGTTAGAAATGCATTTCAGTATTCAGATGGTTGATGGGAAGGTGTCCATTTATTTCTGACATCCTCTTGTGTATCTGGAATGCATTTTACATATTTTAATAGCCCTCAACTTGGTAATCTTTCAACTTTCAGTTAAACAGGATTTAGCCTTGTGAGGGTGCCTTGAGCTGTGTAATTAAGAATTAGATCATTAAGATGAACCTTGGATACTCACTAACCCAAGTTTTACAGCTGGGGAAGCTGAGGGTCAGAGGGCATCACACGGTCCAAAACAGAAAACGAACAGCTTAATTGTTGTTCTTTAGAGAGGGTTGATTGAAATGTCAGCGCTTATAATAAGCTGCTTAACTTTGTAAAAAGTAACGTTTTTAATTTCTTGGGTTCAAGCTTAAAATTTCCTTTTAAATACATAACTGAATTCTATAAAAAACTGGAAAGCTTGGAGGATTATAAAATCCTCTATAAATGCAGGAAACCAGACACCTGCTCTGTGCTAGACTCCATGCTCTGCACTTGCTTCTGGGCTCAGGATCAGGGTATAAAATGAAGGCATAGTCCTCGTCCTGATGGAGTGCAGCTTTTGGTTATTTCGGCTTTACTGTCTCTACTCCTTTACTTATAGGCGGTGATACTTGCCTCTCTGTGATCCATTTTAATGTGGTTTTAGAGGCTTGGCCTCTACAAGTCCACTTATGTGTGGTTTTGAATGTGGGTTTTTAACCCTCACCCTGGATAATAGGCAGGGTAAGTCTGCAGTGACTGAAAACCACAGGAAAGTAGAATTTCCACAGGCATATAGTTATTTCTTCAACATTCCTGTTTCTGTAGAAAAATAAGATATGCAAATTATAGATTTCCAAAAAGATAAACTTTCGGTCACATCTTTTTTTTTTTTTTTTTTTTTTTTTGGATACGCGGGCCTCTCACTGTTGCGGCCTCTCCCGCTGTGGAGCACAGCCTCCAGACGCGCAGGCTCAGTGGCCATGGCTCACGGGCCCAGCCGCTCCGCGGCATGTGGGATCTTCCCGGACTGGGGCACGAACCCGTGTCCCCTGCATTGGCAGGCGGACTCTCAACCACTGCGCCACCAGGGAAGCCCACAGTCACATCTTGATATTGTGTATTTGTATATTCTAACTTGCCTTCACATCATACAGGAAATAAAAGTGAATCCGTTTGTTGTCATTACTGATGATTAAGAACATTTTACAAATCTGCTTTCATACTGGAGTGGCAACAGAGAATTCTTTTTCAATTCCCAAAAGTATGAAGCATGCAGACGTATTCAATTTCCATCTTCCAGAGTGTGTGTATGTATGTATGTATACAGCATTGTGTTGTGTGTGTATGTGTGTGTGTGTATGTGTGCGTGTGTACATACATGTACATTCTAGAAGTTATGCTTACCTTTTTAATACCCTCTGGTAAGGTTTTGTAATTTACTACCTCATAAACCTTCCTCACTAAAGTTTTCTTTGGTATCTTATATTATTTGTTGCATTTATGACCTTTCATTTTCACCCTTGTATTTTCTAAAAGCACAGGCTAGTAGCATACACATGGACTTTGAGGCCTGGCCCCATTTTTGAACCCTAGTTCTTCCACTCCCTTTGGGCTAGTTATTTAAGTTTGTAGAGGTTTATTTTTGTAAAATGAGAAGAGCCATATCTACCTTATTAGGATTAATGAAAGGATTAACTGTTATTCTTTCTTTTTTTTAAACATCTTTATTGGACTATAACTGCTTTACAATGGTGTGTTAGTTTCTGCTTTATAACAAAGTAAATCAGCTATACATATACATATATCCCCATATATTACTCAGCCATAAAAAGAAACGAAATTAACTGTGATTCTTAAACAAGGTTATGTTGGAGAGGTGTTTAATCACAGTGCCTGACACATCGTATACGATAAATGTTGGTGGGTTGATTGGTTTATAATATAATAATAATAGGTTATTCATCTTATATTAGAATACTGTTTTTTTCCCCTTTTTAAAAAAAATCTGACTAAACTGCTGAAGCCCTTAATGCATCTAACAGTTTCCGAGTGCATTCTTTTGAATTCTTCAAGTAAATAATCAATTATTGCAATAATCAATTAATGCAATTAATGATGATTTTTCTCTTTCTATTTCCAATAGTTATTTATCTTGTTTATGTTTTATATCTTACTGCATTGTCCAGAATTTCAAAAACGATAGTAAATAATGTGGATAATGCTAACTTTGCCTTGGTCTTGACATTAGCGGGAATCTCTCTATTGTTTCATTCAAAAACAACAGCTTATAAA